TGGGGGGGGGGGTAGCAATTAACCTTTACTGCCAGTAATTTGCTCACATACTGGCTCTTGTTCTGAGGAAGAAACTTCCATTTCAGTGCATAGCTCTGGCAATTTTTGCCACTTCTTGATTACTCTGTCAGGAAACCTACATTTAATAATTCAGCTCTGGATGAAGTACTGCCTGGCCTAGAAGAACTGGATTTCTGCTTCAACTTTTTCTTCTATTTAGTGTTTCCAAGAACTAGTGGAGTGTAGCTCTGTTTTAATGGCCATATTAGTACTTTGTCTTGTGCTTTGCTGGTTTCAATCTAGCAGTTTCCATTGTCTTTGCCCAAACAGCTTTTGCCTGATACGGGAAGAACTGTGGCTGTTTAAGGAGCAAGGTAGTCAAGTTTCATGCAACTGGATTGCATCTTTAAGCAAAGTTGAACACAAAGCGCTTTTCATGTAGTATCCTTTATTTGTTTTATTGTGAGTACTTCTCATGGGAAGCATTGATCATCTGTAGCAGCTGGAGGAGAAGTGACTCAGGTTGGTGCCTGATACTGGAGCTGGGATGAAGGAGGAATTCCCCAGCAGAGATGTGGTGAGAAGTCAGGATAGGGAGGAGAGGTGTGAGTGGGCAGGAGCGTCACTGGCGGAGAGCAGGAGGTAAGGCAGACCCTGTCTGTGGGGGATTTGGAAACCAATAGGAAATTATGAATTGGATTCCAAGGTAAGGAACAGTGCCAGTAGTCCAGGGCACTGCTGATACGGTGTAATGCCAACTACTTCCAGACAGGTAGTCATTCAGGACTGCTACTTTAAGTTGTGCCTTTGTTTTTCTTTATTTTCTTTGTTTTCAGTATTGCTTTGGATTACTTTTGAATCTGTTTTACTTAGCTGTTTATGCTATTAAACTCCATCCTTTCTTTTGCACTTTATACAATCTGGGATCTTTCTGGGGCAGAGAAGATGACAAAGGGCAAAAAATTTAAACTTTCTATTATGTTCAAGTTTTGTGTGCTCCTCAAAGTTTAATTATTGTTGAATGTGACTGATATTTTTTTTCCCCTCTTTGTTCTCCCCTGCTCTCTTCTTCTCCTTGAATGTTTTTCTTTCTCCTTTTTTTTTTTTCAGTGCTCTAAACCCTGTATCATATCTGCTGCCTGGCTTGCTAGTCTCTTCTCTGTGTCATGCAACCTGATCATGGCATGAAATCCAAGGCTTAAAGGAGTGCATTTTGAGGGTATAGTGCTCTGTGGTTTACCAAGGTTTATGTTTCGCTAAGTTACAATCCCTGTAGACTGTCTCTGCACTACTATAACTTTCCTGCAGACAAAGAGGCTTTCTTTCAGAGCTGCCTCTTATCAGTTGGTTTATCTTGTCAGATTTGAATGGGAGAAGAATAGTTTTATGAAGACAATAGAAGGGGAAAGTTACTTGATGTGTTCAGAGATCCAGGAAAAATGATTTTGTCTGCGGAATGGCTTTAACTTCTGAGATTCTTTTGTGTATGGAAGATTGCTGTTTCAAGGCTAAATACAGTTCAGTAAGTAATGGTTTGATACTTCCTTAGTGCGACCCTGCTTCCCATTCTTCCCATTTGTGGTGTTCTTGCGAAGTAGATAATCTTTCAAGGTTCTCTGAAGATTTTTTTTTTTTCACACACAAAGAGCCTCTTCTATAATAGTGTTATTCTGGGGAAGGAGTTGTGTTTCACAGATTATACAGGATGAGTAACATCGTTTCAAAATCTTTGTGAAACAGAACTGAAAAAACAAAGTTGTAAGGAGAACTCCAGGATGGATTTGTCCTTTCATGCAGTGATTTACATCTTGCCCTACTGGAAAGACAAATAGAGGAGACTTCATATTTTTTATTTTCTGTTGAGAAATAGAACACTTCACTTGAGTGTGATAAGAGATAAATTCTCCATACAGCTGCAGCCATGTCTGAGTAAATAGCAAAGATTTTTTGGAAATGGCAGTGGGGGGAAAGTTTACACTTTACGTAAGATCTTGCTATTGATGGTAATGCCATCATACTCCCCGGAAGCTATTCTTAAAAAATAGCCCCCCAAAAAAATCAAGATAACATGAATTAGATATCTTTGATAATGATTTGTGAAAGGTGTTGCACTAACTTCACCTGAAGAATGTGAAGTTCCAGTTTTAGTGTAGAATTGAATAAAAGTAATTTATTTACATAGGAAATTCTGGCAAAAGTGGTAAAACTCTCAATTTTTACAGATAAGGGCAAATGATACTGATAAACTTGTACCTGAAATCATCTTTGTTGCAAAATTACTGAAGAGTGCCTAGAATTTGTTGAAAGTAACGTATCCAGGGGTTAAAATGTATTCCCTCCTTGTCACAGGACATGTGGCGATCCTTTAGATCCCAAACTTCAGCCATGCAAAGCTGCTTTAAAGTCATGTAATGGGGTCTCTTAACCCCTGTCCTCACCTCAGATGCTGTAGTGACATCATCACATCATCATGGATAGATGTAATCTGTGTATTCTTTAACAAATGTCTAATCAATACCAAAAGTTTCTACTGGGTTCAGTTTTAGATGGGAGAATTGCAAAGGAATGGTTACTCAAGCTTTTAAAAACAAGTGTAGCAGATAAAGTGAGACTTGTCACAGTATGGTACAAGAAAAGTTACCCAAAATACAGTGACATTGCATGAAGCCAAAAGGAGAAATTTGGACCATTTTTAGGTAAGAGAAGATTTGAATATGACTTCTCAGCTGGACAAAATGTAGAGATGGGGGAAACAATATGACTTTGAAATTGTTGTCTAATGAAATATGGAATATATGCTCAAGTTCTGTCATTTAAAAAATATATTAAATGCTGAGTATGTTAAAAATATTTGTAAAAGAGCTTAATCTAGGCAGTTAAAAACACATGTATATAATTTCACATTTGAAATTGTTTGTTCAGCTTAGAAATTGTTGTGTATGTCTTTTTGTTTTGACTTTTCCAGCTCTCTAAATGTGAATCTTGCATCATTTTGTGCTCTTTTCTTACATAGATCTGCAGTAATGATAAATATATACTCATGAGTTAACTCATCGTTTAATTGATTGTAATAATTAAGTGATATGGCAATTCATTGTGCAATTCATGTGAGTGAACTTTACGTTAACCCATTAAACAGTTAGGAATGGCATTATTGCTGCTTCACAAAACATTTTTAAAGGGGAGACAGGTCTTAGTGTTTGACTTTTTTGCACATTGCAGGTATTGTCTATACTGCTTTCATACTCAACATTTCCTCTGCCTTTATTTTCTTTGTTTTCAGTATTGCTTTGGATTACTTTTGAATCTGTTTTACTTAGCTGTTTATGCTATTAAACTCCATCCTTTCTTTGGCATTTTATTCAACTTACATTGTATCAAGACTAATTGGTCTTGCTTTCTAGCTGTTGTATAGAGATCATAATGTTACAGAATTAATCTTTGGAGACATCTACAAATACAATCTGAATCTGCTTCCATTGGAACATGCTGTGTTAATGAAATGGTTTTATATATGAATTTTTCCCCTTTTAGTGGTTTTGAGTTTTTTCTAAACCTTTACAGAAAAAAATCGATTGCAGTGCCATAAACATTAGCATATGCACTTAAGTTTATGGTTACAAGAGACAGTTATGGTCTCTTTGACTTCAAGATACTGTTTTCCTTGTTCATGAATGTTTGCAGTGTTGAGGATTTACGTTTATGAAAACATTTATTATAGTAGAAAGGGCAAAAAAGAAAAACACTTCTGCCAACAAATATTTTAAAACTCTATGATGTATTTAAGAAAAATATCTCCTTTCCCAAGTTTAATAGATGTGTTAATTTACTATTTATCTCACCTAATGATCTTGTGATATGGGAAATTAGTGGCTTTGCAGATGAAAAATGTGTGAGTGAAAAAATGCATTCATTTTCTTAGGCATCATCTGTTCTATTGACAAAAGGCACAGATGTGAAATTTATCTCAATAATTAGATTTATAATTATTGTATCATTCTCAGATTGATAAATCCTTACTCTTCGTGACAAGTAATTTGTATCTACAGTTCATGCAAGAGAAATAGGTTTAATCATTGAATGGTGGTTGTAAGTGTGAGACTGTTTTTCACATTATGCTTGTATATTTTTCATTCTAAAAAGTGTATGGCAGAGAAGCAAGCTGCAGTCAGGGAAGAACATTTAGTAAATGACTCTACAGAGGAACGCTGGTCTTTGCACAGAACAGCAAATGTGCAAGCCTGAGAAGTATCCATGGTGCGTTTTCTTTGGAAACTGCTGTCTTTGCCATTATCCAGTATGATCGTAGACTTCCTGGACATGCCTGCAAAAACAACAATAGCTTGGATTTTTAATAGGAGACTGGGAAGTGAAGGAACAAAGTAGCAGAATCTCAAAATATCCATATGCGGCACATGTTGTATTTCTGATGCTAATGTCATCTTTCCTCTCTTTTTGCCCACAGTTGTAGAACAAGCAACAGGAAGAGTTTGATAGGCAATGGTCAGTCTCCAGCTCTGCCTCGGCCTCATTCACCGCTCTCAGCTCATGCAGGTGATTTTTATATCTTATGCTACTACTACTATTATTAAATTCTTAAAATGTCTCTATGAGGAAAGGAAAGCAGACAAGTTATCTATTCCACTCCTCTTCTTTCTACAGTTTGTAACAGCAAAAAGTTGTGTATCATTCCATCCAAATTTCTGTTATGTTTAGATCCATAAATCCTATGTTATGGTCAGAAGCAGTCCATAAATACCTAAATGGATCAGGTAGCTATTTTGTATTTCCCCACCTTGCATTCTTACATTCAGATGCACCTGAAGCACTTAGATTGAATGAAAAATCCATAAATAAATATTTCATTCATAATGATTGTCTTCATTTTAAAAAGGAACATTTTTAGCAAAAAACATTTCCTCAAAGGTTTATTGTCTCTTTATGATTTTTGGACATTGGCTGTAACTACAAACCAAAAGGAAAGCCCCACACCTTTCCTCGTGTAAGCAATGACACTAAATACTTTGGAGAACTGCTCTCAGATGGATGCTAAAAGAGAAGGTGCAGAGTTTCAGTTGAATTTTTGAAGACGACAGTGATTTTAGTAAGGTATCTCCAGTTTTCTTGTGGAAGCAACATTAGAGAAAATAGGGTGGTAATTTTTTTCACTCTGAGGAGCAGGCTATCACAAGCATATGAAGATTTGTGAAGATTTCAAGGCAACAGAGCATTTGAAACAACAAAAAAAACCCCAAAAACATGGTGCAGACAATGCATGAAATGTTAGAATGTTTGGGTCTCTTTGGGTCCCCCAAATGCAGAAATTGCCATTTGGAGCAGGGGGATCTGTGGTCACCATAGAAAGAGGCTTTAGTTGTGCTGTGCTGTCTTGATGAAAGCAATAGCAATGCTTGCTGTGAGAACCAGCATGTCTGCTGCTATGAATGACTATACTGCCTGTTTGGAAACTGATGGCTTAGACCAGTGATGCCTAACAGGCTGCAGATGTATGGAGTGACCAGCGTGTGTTACCTGGGACCTGATACAGGTTGTCTACTTGATAAATGCTGAAGTTCCTGCCTGGCAGTGGACTCATGCTTTCAGCAAGTTGCTTCAAACCATAAAAGGGGAATAATACTGCTGATGTCACAGCTGTTGACAAGTGGCTCTGAAGGTGGAAAACTGATACTATAAGGATTAAGACAGGTTAAGTGTAAGCTATTCTTTTCCTTAAATTTGGCAATATGTACTGTGTATTCTAAAACCTATTGTGGAAATTCAGCAACTTCTCCACTTACTCAGGATACAGTAGGTTCTCCTAATGCTGGTACATTCTCCCAAGGTACATGTGCCAAACAATTCAGCAGCACTAGGAAATCCCACGTATATGTTGAAAATTTGCCTGTGTATGGCCAGCTCTGTTGTTAGCTTGCCTCTATGTATGGTTAATTACGGTAAATATTCACACAACCATTGGCTCCTAGCTCAGCTGGGTAGTGTGCCTAGACTCATCCCCTGAAGGGGCAATTTGAAGTCAAAGCATGCTCAGAGTAACCCCTTGACAGGTTTTCTGCTTTATCTGGTGATCAGTTAGTGCCTGGAATTCACTTGGTAGGCAAAATTTTTTATGTTTTGTTTTGTTGTTTTTTCTAATTTGTTCTTTGAATCACTGTGAATGTCATCCTAATTCATGCAAATAAAAAAACCCCGCAAATTTCATAGTTAAAAGCACAGCAAAGCCACATAAGTGAATTTTCATCTACATGCACAGAAGGAGTTCGGTGTTTCAGGTGTTTATTGCATATAAGTCCTTCGTAACCTTGGACTTAAGAGATACTGAGGATTTTTAGCGATGCTGTGTTCTTGTGTTGTCAGAGTCACCAGGTCGTATCTGCACGCTCAAGTCATCTCCATGCTCCCTGTGGCAGCCTGTGCTGGAGGCTTGGTTTCCTGCGAAGGGCAGAAGAGGGATTTTACAAGAGACAGTGTGCTCTGTACAGCCTGCTGGCTTTATTCCTGTTGGCAGTCCTTGGCTGGGAGGGATTACTCCAAATCAGAGAGGCCTCCTTGACTCCATTGAGAGAATCTGGTGTATCTCCTGTCCAGCTAGGTGATTTTAGGGTCTTTTTTGACTTTGTCTGGAAAGTAGCAGGGAATAGTGAGATTTTGCTAGGAAGTGAATCGGAAGTGTTTATTTTGCAGCCTTCATCTGACCTTCTGCCAGGAACATGTACTACGAGCTTGAAGTCTCAGAGGGACTGGAGGTGACCCTCTATAACACCTTCACATCTTTCTTATTAGTGTTTGCTGTTGGAGGAGGAAACAGTAGAAACAGAAGAGGGAGAGGGAAACAAAATAGTTTCCAGTCCTAGAGGAGGATGGAGCAAGCTAAATGTGCAGCCAAGTATCAGTGCTCACATTCACTGAAACCAGGTTTATTCACTAGACTATCCTTGGCTGAAGCATGATAGCAACGTGTGTTTTTGGCAAATATGTCCTAGTAAGATTATGCAGAATATGGAGGACATTGGAGAGATCCTGTTCTAGAAAAGTTTTTCTTGCAGGTTGTCAGGAGTTCAGTTTTGAGCAAGGCATCTGCCCAGGTGAATGCAGTGCCACAGATTATGCTGCCTGGATGCTAACAGCTAATCTAACTGCATGCGACACTGCACAATTGTTTGCCACTGGACTGTCAAAGAAAAAGACTGATTCTTGGATCTGCCTTTTAAGGGGCTGAGTCTAACTGATGGTAGAGCTGAGAACTTGAGTCACTAAGGACTCTTTCAATCCCACCTGTCCTTAGAAACATTAAGCTCCTTCACATTGCACCTTTTGGTCATTCTTTTCTCACGCAGTTCTGTGCAGCAGTCCTCCTGACTGTAGGAGAAAGAGAGGTTGCAGCACACCCAGGCTGTTAGCTTTCCTAGTTTCTTTAGTCCTTTTTAGTCTTCTCAGCATCTTTATACATGCGTTGAGAGGTATTGTCCTTCCACTTTTCTCTCCTTTGTTTCTGGTCTGTCTTCATTACCATCCTTACCCCTTTAGAAAAAGCCTAAGGTGCTTCTGTGAGTCTTTAAAAACACCAAAACCACTGGTGATTAAGACATGTGAACTCTGAGAGTTCCGCTTTACTGTGCTCTAGTCCCCTCTCTTATCTTCCCTGTTCCTTGGGGACCTCAGGGACCCTGTTCAAAACACAGATTTTTATTTTTTTTTTCTGGTTCTAGAGTGAGGAGAGGTTGTGCTTTTACAGGTCCTTGTAGTACTTCAGTAGGAAGATGAGCTATTTTGAGCACAGAGAGTCAGGATCTGTTAGCCATCTGGGTCCTGGCTCAAGTAGAAGTCTGTCTTGCGGTTCTCTTTCAAATGTGATTGAAACGTAAATTTGGGTCGTATTTTAATAAAACTCTCTTCATCTCTGGGGAGAGCCTGCTGTTGCCCTTACTGAAAATAGTTCCATTAGATGCTTTTATTTAAATGGACTACGTTCTTGACTTCATGTTTGTACCATCTCAGATGTTATTGCAGGTCCTTACCCCTTTATTATAGGCTATTCAAGCTAAAGGAAATCAAGATTGTCAGACGCCGCAAAATCCACCCAGGAACAATTTCTATTGATTATCAGCTTGGTAATACTCAGTGTTATCTTCAGCCCTTCTTCTATAGTCCTAATAAGATTATCGTGTTGCTTTGGGAATTCAGTGCCTCAGAGGTATCTGAAGTCAGTATTTTCATTCCTTGTGAGGACACCCTTGGATCTACAAACAACCTGTTCTCTTCTATGTTAATTCATTGCTTGTTGGGAGAACAGGCAAAATACATACTTAGGTACCTTTGCTTGCATCTCATACCTGAGATGAGTTTTATTTGGACCACTTGTTTAAGGTACCTGTTTCCTGCGCCCACCCTGCCCAACACCTCACGTCTCTGAGGGCAAAAAAGTGCTATGCATCCTCTGTGTCCACTGAAGCAAGGTGTGTGAAGGCATGTTATGAATCTCAAGGTGAAGCTTTCTTAGAGTGCACTGCATTAGCACTCAATGCCAGTATCTGTGGCTTTGCTCAAGAATGTTTTCATCTTTGGTATCTGCAGAGCAATCATTTAGAGGTCTGGCTGTGCCTTCAGAAACAATGTGTCATTGCTTCAGACCTCCTGAAGAGCTCCGGTTGTGACTAGGTTATTGGAACAACATGGAAAAATGTTAGCCAAAACAGACTGGATGTGAGCAGTATTGCTCTATTCAGAAGAAAAGCTTTTTGAACGTAATCATAATTTTTCGAGGTGGATTTTATACCCGCATTCTTCCTTGCAATCCTGTATTTCTCCTAGATGCAGCCTGAAATGAAGGCACTGGCTGTTACATACTTTAGGTAGACATTCTTTGAGGAGGACCAGTGGCCCAAGTTTAGGATGGTGATAATTACCCCATAAGAGAAAGTCATATAGAGGTCTCAGGCAAATTTCTCCCCTCCTCCTCAATTTTGTTTGCTTTGGAGATAATAGATTATTCCTGCACAGGAGCATGTTGTTAATCTTTAGAGATACAAGCTGAATTGGACAAACATTGAATACTTACGTAACAGTTTGTTAATTGTTAGCCTTACCACCTCAGTCATTCTCAAATTCATGTGGTAGTATGTGAGGGAGAGACAAGTGAGACAGCACCATGGTGATAGAGTAAGTATATTGTGCAGGGCACAAATAGTACACAAGTAGCACCTGTCAAAGAAGGGGCAGATTCATTTGTAAGCAACAGCAACCATGAAGGCTTGTGGGCTATACTAAATAGTTATTCGAGCAGTAAGTAGGAGCAGTAGGCTTGGTAATGCACAGAGAGGTATAAGATCTGAAACTGAGGGTTAAAAAGGGGATAGGAAAAAGACAATGCGTACAGCAGATACAGAATATCTCTGTTAGATACATTAATTGCTAATACAACACGTGTAAAGCGCTTTTCCTCTGTGCAGGACCTGTAGCTACCTGTGGAGATAATTAGCATTGGTGGAAAGTCAGATTTTAGTTTGTAGCTGAAGTCTTCCACTGTGCCTTATATG